TAACTCCTCTTTTGTTTCTCTCTTACATCTATCCACCCCGCCTCTCTCTCTCTCTCTCTCTCTCTCTCTCTCTCTCTCTCTCTCTCTCTCTCTCTCTCTCTCTCTCTCTTCTCTCTCTCTCTCTCTCTCTCTCTCTTTTGCTTGCTTGCTCTTTTCATTGTCCAACAACCGTATCACCGTATTAATCAATATCTACACACTTCTTTCACTTTCTTGTACTGTTGCATCTGGATATTAATCACGCATTCCAGGCCATCCCTTTCGTTCTGACAAATAATTGTTTCTCTCCACTTTCATTCTGGTTGCAACATTCTCAGGCTCCAGGTACTCCGTTGTCTCTTTCGCCGCCGTGTTCCTACGCCTTCCCCGTACAGCAATACTGCTGCACCCTCACACATTCCTTTAAAGCGCTGCAACTTGGCAGTCCTCAGCCCCAACCACCCCAATGACCGCATAAAACCCGGTTTTATTTTCCTTTTCTAATTTGTTAATTAATGCGTTTGCTGTATAAAGAAATTGGTGGATGACTTGTGATGATTGTAATGATAAGGAGCCAGGGAAAATTTTCCTTTAAATGTAAACTAAGGACGTTAAGTAACTTATATGAAGCTATATGTAAAACAAGACTGAATACAGTAGGCACATGTATTCACACAATAACTATGCATCTATACACTACACTATGATGTCAGAGCAAAGGATTTAAAACAAGACCAGGCGTGCAGACATCTTTTTCCTTACATCATTTTTGTACATTACATATGCGTGAGTCCAGCAAAGCCTGTCGACTGACAACAACACAAGATTGGGAATTGTTTGCTATGACAACGCAAGAATCCATCTCAAAAACCTCTATTGCGAAATGGTGCGTCATGGCACCTCCTCGCCCAGGGCTCACCCGCCTCCCCTGGAAAAATTCTTTCTTTCCTCTCGCTTTCCAAGACTTCCATAACCAAAAACAGGCTTCTAGATCCCTACACCCTTCATCACAATCAGCTTGGTTGTAGGGGCATGGGTGAGGCACTGGGGATATGACGAAGGGTAGGAAGCAAGTTTATTGAATATGGAGGTAGACGGAGGCAACCCGGCTGGGCCCCCCGGTCGCCCGTGTTACAGCCACCGGCGTCTATTACAGGCATTTCTTTGTTTGTTATTATCCTTGTTTTGCTAGATTTTAAACTGTATGGGTGAAAAATCACCGGGAATCATTTCCGACAGGCATCAAGCTATTCGTATGTTGCAAAATCAGTGACTTGTGTCTCTGCTACATGTCCTATCGATTTGCATCATGAATGGACCAGCAGCAGTATAGCTCTACAGTTTACTATATAGATTTACTTTTGCTAAAAAATGCTGGTAGGGTATCCAGTGAATATGCTTTCTTCGGTCGAAAGTGAATATTAGAAGAGTTGCAGACTAGTGTCTGCAACTCCTGGAGAGTATACCATTCGGTTACATAGATTGCTGTATGAAAGAATGACCAATGCATATAAGATCAGTACAGATCGTTGTTCATAAGGAAGGACGGGATTCCCTTTTAGAAAACGTTCCGTCTGAACTGCTCCGCCATCTTTCTGGAGGCCGGCCACCTCCATTCAACCTTGCACGCCATCATGGTGACTTGCCCCCACTGTCACCATTACTGTTACAGCTTTGCGTTACTTGTGGTATTCCTTATTTTTTTCGGGATCGATAGAGAAGGGTGCACATTAAAATTATTTTTTGTAATTTATCAGAAGTATTCTCGATTTAAACTTTCGTGTGATTAAAATTTAGTTATGAAGAGAATACTGCACACGCAGTTTATCGCTGGGAAAAGAAACACCCTTGCCATACAGCTAAGAATAAGGTATATAAATATCAAATCAAATTTTCCTCTGTAAGGTGGATTACAAGGTTCTAAGACAAGAAAACTAAATTCCACGGAGACTTTAATTTTTCGTTGGGGGTTTAAGAATTCGATATTCCAAGAAAACCTAAATGCCAGTCACATGTGTAGTTCACCTGCAATTCAGTTGTTTAAAATATTTTATTCTTAACTTTTCTCATTTACTTATGACCGAGAGTTAACCGGTCTACGTTTGTTTCAAACAGGAAAATGAAATCGTATGACTGATTTAAATTGTTTGCTCTATATGTATAATTTCGTTTGGTATAACAAGTAGTTAATCAAGATAAATCAATTGAAAGAATGTGATCATGTTCTAATCATTAAAAATCCTGATGTTGTGAAACAGATGATCTTTAAATCGTTGCCAGAAACTTCAATGTGCACACCTATCGCAGATAATCTCTTATAGCGCCATCTATATAATTTTACTCCTCCTGCTGTCCATATATAATTGATCTTTTTGTCAAATATACATTAGACTTCATCAAAATTCGGTACATAAAGCTAAGACACAATACGACTGCTTTAAAGGGTGAAAAGCAATATAGAGGGCGGGGAAGCATGAGGGCGCGCCGAGGGGTCTGCTGGGGTCTTGGGAACACGTGTGAAATTTCCTAGTTTTCGATGGGGAGGGGAAGGAGCCAGTTCTGTTCCGCGAGGGTGCTGAGCGGAAGCAGCAGCAGCCGCTCTCCGATCACCGTGTTCACTAAACCTTGCGTAACTTTCTCCTAAATATAATCCGGGCTCCGTGTGCTAGCCGTATACGAGGGGAGAGTTGTACGCTTTAGGACGTAAAGGAGACCACACACGAGATGGAATTTGACGACTACGAGAGCTTGCCGTCGGGCAGTGTTGGGATTCATATGACTGCCGGAGCTGTGGCTGGAATCATGGAGCATTGCGTAATGTTCCCCGTTGATTCAGTGAAGGTGAGCCTGAGGTTTGACACTTTTTAAGCAAGATGTCATGTGAAAGGTTATTCAAGAAATCGTTGTAATGGGTAACCCTCCGTGGCTAATGAGGTCAAATGCGACGGTTCTCGCCTGGGACCCGATCAGCTGATCTCCCGCGGCATGGAGGGGCAGGGAAGGCGCCGAGCCCAGGCCTTGCCTTCCCCTGCCCTCGTGCCCCCTCTAAACTATGGGTATTTGTCGCTCGGAAAAGCTTAGGCTCTTGGGAAGCTTAGAGAGGGCCAAGTTGAGCTGAAAAAGGATGTCATCAAATTGTTTTTTTTCTTTGATTTTTGTTTTTAGATAAAGTGGACATGTATTAGATAATATATATTCATGATGTGCAGGTTCTCTAGGGCACAATAGTAGAAAAGTGGGAACCAATTTAGTAAAGGCACCAGATAGGAAATGGCAATGAGAACGGTTCTTGTGCACCTTTTGCTATGTTTGGAACTCCATGTCTTACTAGGCTAGACAACTTGTCAGGACCAGCAAGACGAGGAAGCTGCATTTGAAACCATTTGAGCCCTTCATTACAGACAATCCAACCAGCTTGAAAATAAATATTACAATTTATTATACTAGTGTCTTTATTCTACAGACTGCATAGGTTATGTAGCTACTCTGATGCATATGTAACTTGCTGCAACTTCTAAACACTGTAATAGCCTTTGCATACAACATAAAAGGGCCATAAAATTTCCTACCAATATCTTTTGATTGCATGCAACTAACAGTGTTTCTATACAAATGTTATTGTGACATGATCTTATCCAGCTTGTCCGACAGCATGTGGGCGAGATAGATGACACGGACAACTTATCCTGGACACCAAAATACGGGTTCTGAATGGTAAAATGATTTTGTCCAACTTGTTGGAAAAAGAGTTTCAAATGTAGCATTAGCCCATTGAGCTGTTGAGGAAAAAAAGGAAAATATTAATATCAGTTAACACTAAAGTTACTCTCAGTAGTCTATGTAGACATTTGTGCTGACTGAGGGCTGGATGTATGTATGATAATGCATAAGACATTAACTATCCATTAAAACTGCTTGATATGGTAAAAGATTTTGAAAATAATAGAATGGCTAACACATGATGGACAGCATTAATAAGTTCCATGTTGAAGATGGCCAGAATTCCAAATGGTATCTGTATGACCATAATAATCAAGCCTTTGTTTTTAATCTCTACATGTGTACGTGAGACTCTGGGTGGTGTGACCATCACATCATGAAAATATTTGACTGAGGGCTGGATGTATGTATATGCTGCCATGAACAAATTCTGAGGGCCCGGGTGACGGGAATAACTTGTTACGAGTGCACAAAGGCCATAGAGGGTGATTAGACATGGGGTATAATGCAATATTTCCATTGGTAAATAAGTGTGGAATGTACAGTCCTTGAGCCACAACAGGAAGAGTGCTGGCTCCAAAGAGGACACCATTTAGATGCTCAGGATCCTATTCCTGCCAGCTGTGATGGGTGGTGCAGGTTGTATTATAGAAAGTGGAATATTACATGAGTATAAAAAATGACAAATAACAAAATGTTATTTACTCTTATAGACTATGTAGAGAGATATGTAGCACAATCTATTACTATCTTGATATGAAATGACAAATATAGACCCAGAAAAATAGCATGAAAGCAAAACATACTTATACAGAAAGTTATAATAACATTGGAAAGGGGAGTCTTGGCACCACACACAAGTGTTTTGTGTAGGCCAGGCCGACACACCTAAGAGAGTTGCCACTCAAGTAAGCCTAACACCAGATTTTGGGCCATAAGCGGGCAGTAAGGCCTCTGGATCCAGTGAGTTAAAAACATAGGCCTGATTGCTCATTTTTCAATGTCTGTAATGGAAAGCTCAAAACTTAAAATTTTTATCTTGCGTGGGAAAACCTTGATATTAATCCTGGTACAGTGGCAAGTGCACTCCAATTATTTTTTTGTACTATTTGGTTAAGTATATATGTTTCACTAGCAGCATTCATAGAGAACATGGACCCAGAATTTAGTGATGTCAAGTGTGTATATATATAATGACTTGGGTATTTAGTGTATGCCTAAGTAACAACTCGATATGAGATACCCATGTATCTACTACTGGCCTTTACCCCTTCAGTGCCAGAAATATTTGTGCAAGAGAGAGCTTACAAAATTCCTTGGAATTTGTTTTGGGGGAAATAACTAGTCCAAGCCAATCTTGCCAGAATACACATAATAGCGGAATGATCTCCTTTGCAGGAGTGCTGAAGGAATGGAGCCATGGTAATCAGTTGACAATGGCTTTCAAATTGTAGACTTCTCTCATAAATGAGAATAAGTTTTGCATAGTTGGTAAAAATGAGATAAAGGCCCGTTTTTAATATTACACTATGATTTGTCTATAATAAATATTTTCCAGCAAGGGAATTATTCAGAGGAGGACCATATGCAAAGGTGCTGGAAGGGAAAATAAAAACACTATTTTTTAAATGAACTGATATAACTGTAGAATCAATTTGCATGTATGAATGCTAATGGGACTGCTAGGGATTAAAAACTGTCAGCAGGTATTTAGAGGCCACACATGAATACATAATCACAACTGTACCATGTCTAATATGGCAAGGTAGAGCTCTTAAACTTTTGTAACTGTTTGTGATAAATACAGAACAAGTGCAAGTGCTATCTCAGTAGAATATGTTGTGGTATGTGTCTGGTCTTTCCTGGAAGTGCAAAGGTACTTAGTATCACATATGGTAAGATTCAGTATTACCACTGAAGCTTACACAATTTGGCAAGACGTAGCTCCAGTTATCTTGCCAGAGTTTATATATATATATATATATATATATATATATATATATATATATATATATATATATATATATATATATATGTATGTATGTATGTATGTATGTATGTATGTATTGTAAATACTATTATCCATCACATGCAGAAGATAGGCCATATTCCTCACAGATAATGTACAGTAACATGGCCAGCCATAAGTAAGGGGAAAGGGAGATCAATAATCGTTTCCTAGAATATTGATACTCACAAGCACCTAAAGATCATATTGGATTTTGTAACTTCCCCAAACTTATGCTTCAAGAAACCTACTTTGATAACGAGAGATTTCTTTCGAATACCTACTGGAATTTATCCTCATCTTAGGAAGAATTACAAGAACCATATTTTGAAAAAGAAAATGTGAGGGTCATGATTTGACTATACCCTCACCCAGTACTTATGCTATAACTTAAATGTGATGTAGGTATTCAGGATTGAACAACTATTTATTATTTGACTTTCTTTGCTTATTTTGAAATTTTAACCCACTGCCACTGGGAATTGTCTTTACACATAGATGGTTCCGTAACTACAAATCATGACTACTACCCATCTCACCTGTTTCCCCCCTTTCCCTTGATTTTTGGAAATGTTTTTTTGGTATCTTTTATTGTTATTAGTAATGTTAATAACATGATGATAATTATAATAACTATGATGATCTTAACAGCATTGATATTAATAGTTTTTCCTGCAAACTCAGGTAGAAGTGAAATCATGTGAGGCCACAGGGTCTACTAATTGACTCCATTTGTGGCCAAGTACTTGCAGAGACATCTATGTGCAGAGACGCTTCACAAAATAATACTACAGAAAAATAACATTTTCCCGGTGACATGGAATTGAAGTAAACACTGGCAGGTCTCCATGAAATAGGAAAATGAGAGTGTAAATTAATATAGAATAATAAAATATGAAATTGAATGTTGATATAATCCAATTTTCACACTTAATAGCAATTGATGTTCGATCATGTTGTCCACAGTTTGCATTACTGCCCAAACAGTCTAGAGCATAGAGGGGAATAAATTTGTTTTGTGCTTCTAATTTTCTCCCTAAGTAGGTGACTTTACACACCTCTGGGTATTTGCCTTGATATGGCACTTGGGGATCCTTTTATGACTGGGTAAATATTAAGTAATTAATAACATAATCTGAAAAAAATGTGATCTTTCTCCATTTCATACCTGAGAGATCACTGTCTAATGACCCACAGACATTGTTCAATGGTTAAAACTTTTTGCATAAATGTTAACCCAATGCTGCCGGGGAAAATGAACAAAAAATGGGGAAAATGCTGTGCCCACTTTCTATGTTTTTCGTAAAATGTCTGCCGATAGATGGCTCTGCTAGCGCCTGATTTGAAATGGCGGGAAAAAACGTATTTTTCACTAGTGCTATGAAAATCGATGGTGTTATTTTTATCATAAACATTATAATTTTTTAAATGTTTTTTAACATTAGTAATAACAAAATAAAATAACGTAAAATATTTTGTAAATCAAAGAAACGGGTAAATGGGCGAGACGTGCGGTCCTCGTAGTTGGCTCATTGGTGATTTAGTACAAGTGTTGCCACCTATGCGTAAAAACAATCAAACAAGTATTCACGGTGGGCATAGCACGTACGTACACGTCATACCCGGCACCAATGGGTTAAGGAACAACAAACAATGTTTCCACTCATAGATGGCTCATTTATTTCCATAGAATAGACAGTTTTATTTTTGTTATCCTTTTGTTTTCCATCATTGTTTAAGTACTGAATATATCAAATGTAGATTCTAGAGAATGAATTTTGATGTGCCCTTCATATCTATAACCATTTCTGCATATAAACATAACACATACGTATAAACATATAAAATGTTATTATTAGAACAAGACCATACATCTTTTTTATTTAAATCTATTGCTGCCAGGGATAGCACATATACATAGTTGCCATTTCCAATGTAGTTTTAGTTTATTTATAATGTTTAGACATAGATAACTCCGCAAGTACCTAGTCACCAAGGAGTTATTTACCAGGCCTGTGTAATTTCTCCTCTATACCCTTTTCCTTGATTTTGATGATCTTGTATTGCTATTGGTTTTATTAATGATACGATAATCAGAATGCCAGAAATGATAGTAAGAATATTTACGGTATTAAAATTTTAAGGGAATGAGAGGTCATGTAGGCCAATTCATTGATTTGTAAGTGTCTGACCAAATATAGAGCTATCTGTTTGTAAACAGAATTCATAAAACAATGTGACTATGATATAGCAGTTTCCTAGTGGTAACAGTTTAATAAGATGAATATTCTTTTTTCACTTTTTAAAACAAGAATTTATTATTAGCGCATGGCTAGTGTGTTTACATGCCATGTTCACTGTAATTTTAATTTATTCTATTAACACAGAGATGGCTCCACAAGTAGGTTGTAGGCACAAAGTCAATTACTACAATTTCTACATATCTCACTTGTTTGCAGTTTTCCTTGAGTGAAGGAAAGGTTCTTGTATATTATTTTATTATTTTTATTATTTTGTTCTAACAACATTATGATAATCATAATGTATGTAACAGTAATGGCAACATTCACATTAATAACATTAAAGAAAAGTTCTCCAAAGACTACAGTGGGCAGTACATAACCTCGTAGCCATTGGCTTAGAAGTCTAAAATGTAGAGATTGCACTATACACGTTTCCTTCCTCAATTCTTTCCTTACTATGTTTCTTTTCCCTAAAGAAAAGGAAAATATTTTTGGATACTTTTACCCATTACCTCTTATGTCATATAAATGATTGAAACTATTATATTAGTTTTAAAAAAGCTATGTTCTTGAAAAGGGTAACCTTGAAATGAACCTAAGCACTTGGAGCAGTGCCAGATACTACAAATGTAATACCACATTGCAACAGGATGTTACACAAAAGTCTCTTCTCATAACTCCACATCCAGATGACCGTATACTCTGGTTACATTTTTACATAGTAGTATTTAAATTGCTGTTCTGCTTGATAGTCGGTCATTTTCCTTTTTGGTATACAGAAAAGTGGTAAATACTCGGGTATGAATTGGTACTGAATTTGTAATCTAGGAAACTAAGCAAAGTCCCTGAGCAGGAAGTAGATAATCTGTGCTCATAACCAGCCAGAGCTTATTGTGGCAGTGACCATATGACCCATTCAAAAGTGCTAGGTGGTATGTTGTTGTAGTGATGGACTAAGCTGTGCCAATGCTGGCTTAGAAACTACTGCCAATATTAGACAAACAGTCAGGTTTATATAATGAGCAGATTTTTTTTTTTAGATTATCCTATTGTGTTACTTACAATATTGAGCTCAATATCATGAATCTTGCTTTTACATTGTCAAGCTAGTTCATAACAAAATGTAGGGGTTTATTTGTAGAATCTCTTCCTTCAGCATGGTATAGAAGGGAATTGTTTCATGTGTAAGTGAAAGTATTATGGAAATAAACTTGATAGAATTCTTTTATTGGATAAATGATTTAACTATCTAAGAGAAACATTGACATTCCTTTTGATATGCAGCCGTCCATCTGGTTGTTACCCTAAGTCCTTTTCTTTCTTTGTTACATTTTGTGCTGCTGAGAGAGCTGGATACTTTCACTCCTTACTTTCTCAAATAGTGTTGATGGGCCTATCACAGAATGTTGATATTTGGGGTGTAAAGTTTAATTTATGTAAATATTGAATTATAAAGAATTATTGTATGGCAAAGATTTAACTTTTTTTCTAAACAAGTCTGTACATAATGGAATGATTAGGTCTACAAGGAAAATATAGGCAAGACAGTTACACCAGAAATGCTAAGGCTGAAGATTGAATACTGAATTAAGTTGGACTAGAGTCTAACTTGCACTTTAATTGTTAATAGAAAAAAAAGACAAAAAAATATTCTTGAGTTGAAACAGCTGCAGGCTTTCCTCTTTTTTCACAGAATTACGTAATAATGCATTATCATTGTAATGTCTCTGACTTGCCATAAATTTATTAGATTGGTTTGAATTAAATGATGAATATTGAAATATGAGGAAGTGAGAAAGTGTTAAATATGTGCAAATTTATTTTTTTCTACCTTTTCTTTTTTATTGAATAGGGAAAACAGATGTTTTTAAATCAATCACTCATATTTAGTAACTCTAGGTCATATGTTCATAAATTTTACTGTATATGAACTAGTACTACTCATATATTTAAAGATACATGTACATTGTTTTTCTCCAGACAAGAATGCAAAGTTTAGCGCCATCTCCAGAGGCAGCTTACAGATCCATCCGGGAAGGTTTAGTGAAGATGGTGAGCTCTGAGGGAATCATGAGACCCCTTGGAGGTGTGAGTGCTGTTGTCATAGGGGCTGGACCAGCTCATGCTCTCTACTTCTCAGCTTATGAAAAAATCAAGAGCACCTTCCCTTCCAACAATTCTCTACAAATTCATGCTACCAATGGTGAGATTATGGACATGTTTATTTTCAGACTTGCTTTGTATTGAGATCCAGTGTTTTTTTTAACATATGTTGAGATAACAAGAGATTTCAGAACCCCAAAGAATAAATTCAGATTTTCTTCACTTCATTCAGATATTAGGAAGAAAATATTAATTAGAGTCATTAGAAATTAATAGGAAATGTGGTTTCCAGCTGCTGCAGGATGTGGAGCAACTCTTCTGCATGATGCCATAATGGTCCCTGCTGACTGTAAGTTGTCTGCCATGTTTCCTTTATTTTTTAGTTGTAGTTAAAGTACATAGGCCTGTGATAGCTTTCTCTTTTCTGGTTCCTTATTGCTCACTTTTGCTCATCTGATTGGTTTATCACTCTTCATCTGAATTTTATTTTGTAATGTCAGTCCTTTAGTACTTTTTCTTTTAAGTTATTTATATCGCCATCAGTTTTCATATGTACAAATTAACTAATACAAGGGCAAAATACATTTTTCTGGCTTCTTTGTATTGATATCACAAAAGTAAAATTACTCTTCATGAAAAAAACAAAGAAATAAGAAAATAAGCATTGATATTGATTTTTTTTGATTTTTTTTATTTATCTTTTTAGTTATTCAAATAAAGATTTTTTATACAAATTCAAATTGTTGGTCTTGAATTTATTAATTGAAATTCATTTTCCTTTTTTACAGTTGTTAAACAACGAATGCAGATGTACAACAGTCCTTACAGGTCATGTTTTGAGTGCATGAGCAAGTTATATCGTGCCGAAGGCCTTGGTGCATTTTACCGCTCCTATACAACACAGCTGGCAATGAACATTCCATATCATGCCATCCATATTGTAACTTATGAGAAATGCCAGAAATGGTTGAATCCAGACAGGCAATACAATCCAGGAGTTCACATGACCGCAGGAGCGGCTGCTGGTGCTGTAGCTGCAGCTTGTACAACACCCTTGGACATGTGCAAAACTTTACTCAATACACAAGAAACCTCCACACTAGCACAAGTACAGGAATCCCGGATTGTTGGAATAATGAGTGCACTTCGAACCATTTACATAATGAATGGCATCACAGGATTCTTCAAAGGATTGCAAGCACGAGTACTTTATCAAATGCCTGGCACAGCCATATCATGGAGCATATATGAATTATTCAAGCATTATATGGTACAGAAGCAGAATGAAAGTATGGCACAACGTTATGATAGTGATCTTGTCAAGGACAGGGTAATTAGAGACACAGGAAATGAAAGTGAAACTGCAATAAAATTTAGCATTGACAGTGAAAAGAGCATGCGTCTGAGTCTGGGTGCAACAACTAATAAAACTGTGGAGAGGTTACGGTCTCTACATATGCCCTCTTCTCTTACAGCAAATTGTGCAGCAGCAGATGACAACTGGCTGGGCAAGTAGCAATTACATGCATTTAAAATTTCATAGAAAACTTTAAACCTATGGATGGTGCCTTCAATATTAATATTTCCATGCAAGGAGGTGTTATTGAATGGTATAGTGCTCATAAAAAAGATAATCTTGTGTAATACTTGGCCAATATCAGAAGATTCATCTTAAAAGGTATCTTGATGTAAATGTTAGGTAATTCAACATTTGCACACAGTCTAGTCATTCTCCCTGAGAGGAATTAAAACAACAATAAGCATATCTGTTAGATACTGAAATCATCTTCGGATTCTAGAGACTCAATTTTTTCTAGCAAAATTAAAAAAAAACTAGCGAGAAACAGTAAGGACTGCACGCTATATAGACTTAACGCAACTATTATGAAATGTGAGAACAAGTGTGATCCTGTCTACCTAATTTTTAACCAGGACTTCATAAAGTTTACAGAATGTAATTATTTTTATAGAGCTATCTGTTTGTGGGCAACAGTAGTAGGAAATTCCAGGTGCTTAACCCTGTGATACTTGCAAAAGCTTTGTATCATATGTAAATTGATAGTTTTGGGAGGGGGAAACAAAAGTGATTACTGCATCAATATGTGATGAACCCCTTTGGGATAGAAAGACCATTGTTAGTGCCAGTCCCAATGTAGATTTCTAGCTGATGAGGTAGTAATGAACTTCAGAAATTTTATGAGACTACTTATTGAAGATAATAGATCAAGTTTGCATAATACCTTGGATCATCTCATTAATGCTAAGAAACAGGACTCTGGAAATGAGTAAAATATTTACCATGAAAATTATGTGTACATACAAAGTGAACTCTCTTTTGCATGTAAGTTTCAGAACGTAATGTTTCATAACATTTTAAAATGTTAAGGGTCCTCCATAGCACAATTTTAAACTTCTGAAGTTCTGGAAATATTTAGATAAGCAAGTGG